GAAGGTTGGAAGAGTCGGACCGTCGCCCGCGCACAACACACCCCTCCCGCCACCGCCACCCCGTAACCGAATGAACCACGCCGTTTGTTGGCACTACTGGCACACAAAAACACCCTTACGCCCCCCCCCCCCCCCCGTATTTTACCCCCCTCACTCCGCCTCCTTTTTTTTTCTTTCACCTTTTCCGCAGTCAGGTGAGTTGCAAACAAAGACGAATAAATAAATGAATAAATAAAACGGGAAGAGGGGAATCCGAAATGGCAAAGGCCAGGTCTTTCCGGACTGAACCAGAGTGTGGCGTCGCGCGTCGCCGTCAACAAGTTTTTGAGTCGGTTCTCTGATGGGGTTCTCTGATAAAGTAAAATGTTTATCCCGAGTTAACATAAAACCACGGTAACAAAATCACAGGGGATCGGGCGATTTCCGCTATTCAGTTTCGCTGCATACTGAAGATGTCACCCACATAGGTGGCGTACCGTATGTGCAAAAATTTTTTTGTTATACTTTCTGTTGCGTTAATTCGGACTAACTATTTTAGGAGCATGAACTCACCCGACTTTTTGGAACATCTTTGCAGATTCAACTCAGTCTCCGATTAACAGTCTTCCCGAGTCCTATTAAAAGTCTTGTGAAAGGTAGGAGGGTGAAACAGAAAAAATACCTGTGAAGCCAGATAGATACGCCGTGATCCCGATCGCGTCATCGTTTATCAATCATTGTCTGAGCACGACCAATGTTATATAAGTGCGTACAATATCTCTGCTTTCAGTGCCATAACTACGATCTGAGCCGATTGTGAGGCAAATTTTAGCGAAAGACTCCGAACATTTCGACCATCGGGCCTCGTGCATTCAGTCTGCATCGAAAATGCCTCGACCATCCAATCAGCAGAAGAGCAGTGTACCTCCTACACCACCACGGCGGGTTGTTATTTTTCCTAGAACAGAAGCCATACACTGACTATACCATATACACTGACTGAAGATTAGACTTCGCGAGTGTAGCTCCTTTAGCAGCCATGAAGAGCAACTCTAATTTTCCAAATTTTATAGGCAAACTGACAAATAACAATGGGCTTTCTCAGGTTCGAACAGCGCCTCTAGTAAAATCTTGGGGCAAGGTATTTTTTGTGATAATTTGCATATGTCGCTATACCCTATACCCCGCCCCCCCTCCCAAAGAAAAAAATGGCGCATGTGACGCAGGCGCGTAGCCAGTAATTTTTTCGGGGAGGCGTGGCGGAGTGCACCACCTTGATTTCAGGAGCTCCCTTAAAACTTCCATTTATCCCCCTCTATGCCGTGGCGAAAAAAATCTAGGGGGGGGGGGCACGTGCCCGGTGTGCCAACCCTGGCATGACGTTACCGCCGCTGCACATGCGCAAACTAGTACCCTGAAATAGGCCCATCAACTAATTTTCGCGATGAGAACGACTTCACGTAGATCTCATAAACGCGACCTCTCATATCTGCCCTCCTCCCTCACGCTTGTGGCTTGTTCACTCAATGCTGCACCCCCATGGACACGAGAGGGCGTGGAGGTTCGTGTATCGGCTCGCCCTCTCCCTTCGTAGAAAGAGGGCGTGGCGCCGAGTCTGCAGGTACGGTGCTTTAGCAAACCTCAAGGTCAATCTCTCTTTATCTCACGCGCACTAACGCCATGTTAGACCGCTTTATCTGGACATACATTGCCTTTCTGTGCTAGCGATTCGGTTGCCACGCGACCACGGGAATTCGCATTTAGTCCACAAAGAGGCTACCGCGAGCCGTTGTGTGCGCGCTAATTTGCATATAAAACGCATTATCTCGTCCCGTTTCTATAGCGCTAACGGTGCGTGCAACGGTTCCTAAACGTCGTAACGTATTCGCTCGATGCCGCGATGAGTGCGTGGCTGTATGCAAATCAAACGAAGGGCGCGAACGATGAATTCTTAACGCCTCTTAAGGACACCGCACGTGTTAAAGGGGCACTAAAGGTAACTATTAAGTCGACGTTGATTGTCAAAATAGCGGTCCCAAAAACCTCGTAGTGTTACTTTAGTGCCAAGGAGGGTTTATCTTGAATTTAAATCATGTTTTAGTGGCCCGCACGGTGTTAGTGCACTTAAATTTACCCCGCCTCAAGAAGCGGACCAACACGCGTCACTGTTGCCGTGCACTTCGTTGCCCGGCTTTTTACTGCATGGTCGCCGACACTAGTAGACAGAACGAAAGCAGCGGGAGCTACAGCAACAACAACGCCCATTGATTAATTTCATGCCATTGGCTCCGAGATGGCAGACGTGTTTTGGTTCAACTGCGCCCCGCTAGATGGCACGACCTGTCCCAATGTAACCATGCGAAAATTGAATTTTTGAACCACTCGCGCCGTTCATATATAGTAATGTCCGGTGGTTCTTTTCTGCATGAGTCAAACAGAAATGAACAAGCAACATTTTAATGCATCTCTTAATGCACGGAAGGTTCTTTATTTAGAGCAGCTCGATTGATCACTAGTGGTTAAATGCAGGCGGCTCGTCTGACGTCATCGCTATCATTTTGAGAATGTCCTACTGCGGCGCATGTATTCTTGTGCACTTACCTTATAATTTCTGGGTAAGTTGGCAGTTCTGTTGATAATCTCGTCGTTTTAGATGTTGTGATGAGCTTTCACTCTGACGTGAATTCTTATTTAACGTTAGTGCCCATTTGATGACCATAAAACTTGAATGGTACCAATACCACGTACGACCTACCTTTTCATCGTAGCCGGATTAGTCACCTGCTACCGCACTCTTCGGCTGTCGGTTGCACACTCGAACCAAAAAAGAAAAGCACCTCTCAATTCTAGTGGCGCAAGTATTGTCACCGCACCGCATACGCAAGCGTTATAACATATCTGCGGGACGCGGGAAAAGCCTGGACGTAATACCGCGCTTGTGATAACTATTCCGCACCCGCGCACGACAGCTCTTTGAACTTTGTGCAGAGCGCGAAGGGATTTCACTGGTTGTATACGACAAACACGGCGCGCTTTCTGGTCATTGCAACGTTCGGAACCAACGAATGGCCGTGTCCCGAGTCGGAGCTCGTTTTTATACGGGTATACAGGGACATCTATATATAGAAACTAGGAGCGTAACTGTGTAGACAAAGCGATAACTTGGCGTGTCGTGTTTACGTGTGTTATATAACGGTGGCACTGACACAATGCACGTTATGTGCACGCAGACTCGTTCACATATGCGATATGGGACGTTAATAAGAGGGAAACTCGGTTTCACTTGTGTCAGAAAATTGCGCTATACTACAATATACCGCAAAACACTACACTGTTGCCGCAACGACATTTTAATTGATTGATATGTGGGGTTTAACGTCCCAAAACCGCCACATGATTACGAGAGATGCCGTAGTGGAGGAAATTTCGACCACCTGGCGTTCTTTAACGTGCACCAAATCTGACCACACGGGCCTACAACATACTCGCCTGCATCGAAAACGCAGCAGCCGCAGTCGGGATTTGATCCCGCGACCTGCGGGTCAGCAGCCGAGTACCTTAGCCACTAGACTACCACGACAGGGCGCGTTGTCTAAGCTTCTACATAAAACACTATGCGACGCCGGCTGGAATAGGAAGCTTCACGTAATGATTGACTTCACACGTTATGAATTATTAAATACGGTGATCCTAAAGGCGTGACCGCACGCACGCGTTGCAGCGCGTGGCTTTTCGACGGAGCACCACGCCCTATCTCTATGGAGAGGGTGCGCCGCTATTGGTCTCGAGAACATACCGTGGCGCCACCTACGTGATGACGTCACTCACAGGATGCCGGGCTGTGTCGTCTGCTAGAACACCTTGCGCTTTTACTGTGGACACCGTGCGTGCTTCCCTTTGCTTTGAAGATCAGTGCTGATTGATTGATTGATTGATTGATTGATTGATTGATTGATATGTGAGGTTTAACGTCCCGAAACCACCATACTATTATGAGAGACGTAAGGGTGGAGGGCTCCGGAAATTTCGACCACCTGGGGTTCTTTACCGTGCACCCAAATATGAGCACACGGGCCTACAACATTTCCGCCTCCATCAGTAACGCAGCCACCGCAGCCGGGATTCGATCCCACGACCTGCGGGTCAGCACCCGAGTACCTTAGCCACTAGAGCACCGCGGTGGGGCAGCTCAGTGTATAAAGAAGCGGTAAGACCTGATAAATACGGGCAAGCAAACTACGAATCGGTGCCCCCGGTGGCACTCTCGTGTACGATTTGACCCGTAAAATCGCGACTAAGAACCGGTGCTGCCATGGGGGACGATGCAAGTAGTGTCGCGAAAGCAAAGCTGCCGTATTCCACAACTACGCATCCAATCTGTGACGTCGAAACGATCGCAGCGCTGGCCTCTCTAGTGGAAGCCCTAGCGGCCAATACGCGAAGCGCTGATACGCTGCGACGGGCGTGTGTGGTCAGGCCTTAACGTGATATATTGGGCCACGGCACAACTTCCGGTGCGTTCGGACCTGTTGCAAAAGCCTTGCCTTCGAAATCCACGCACGTTTGCCTACTCAGAGACGTCCGTCGTCGAGGGGCGTGGGTTCGGGCGTCATCTGTCGACTGTCTCGCAAGGCGCAAGCCCTTTCGCTGCAACTCCTATAGAGTTGACAAAACGACGTTAATAGAGAACACGATAATGCACACACACAATATCTTACGTCGTACAATAACGCCCCGCCCGCTATTTCTTGCTCAGACGTGTCTTATTCAGTGTACAAGAGATCTGCGGCCCGCCGTAATCTGTACACAGGCGACACGTGCTCACACACGCAAGGCTAGCCACTCCGTGCTTTTGCATACATCCGCTGCAAACACCCGCGCCCTCGCGGCGTCTTCTGAGAAGGCTGCAGCGCAATATCGCCGCTTCCTCGGCTCAAAGAGATGGATCGCTCTGAGCACACATCTGGGCTGACCGTCGTTGTCGTGCTGGGATAGAGCAGCGCTGACAGCGTGGACTCGTAGATTGCTTGTCTCGCGATTTCGTTCGGAGAGGCAACAACGCCTTAGACGTGCGCTTATGTGTGCGTAGATTAGATGGAGGGATGAATGATAATAGACACTGCCCGCTTCGCGTTTTCCCTATGCCCCACGTCTCCGCGTTGGTCAGTATACACAGCCGAGAACATCGGCTCTTCAGCCAGTACGCACCATGTCTGGCCCGAGAACAGCGAGGACCGCTTGCGCAGTGACTCATCGCGAAGTGCACTGCGGAATACACAAGGTCTTGCAAAGGGTTGACTCATCCAAGCCCACCCCTTCAAATGGTACGTAATGAATTCTTTTTAACTCGAAATCCTACGCTTAGGCAGGATTTTAACCGCACCGTTGGCTACATGGTTGAGCGTTTTCCGATGTGGTATAGATGCCAGGTTCGATTCGCTACACCGACCGGAACCCCATCGGTTTTTTTGTAAGGGGGTTAGAAGAGTACGTCGACCTGGCGATCAGTTGTACGCGGTTACTCATCTCGAATGGTGGCCCCGTAAAGTTCTGTAAAATAGCCCCCGGGCGCAACTCAGCCCACCACAGTTTTGGCGAAAGATTCCAGCATCTGCCGCTGCTGGGGGAGGCAGAGAATTCGGCCGCCGGGTACTTACCGGTGAAATAGTGTTCGGCCGGCCTGGTGCTCCGTAGAACGAAGTACATAGTCGCTCGCGAATGCAACCACCCTGCGAGAGATTTAGGACATAGGATTGAGACCTAAAAAATGTTTCCTTTTTGTATTAAGTACGTGGTGTTGTAACTAAATCAGCTTCGTTTGGTGAAATCTAACTTGGCCAATGTGAGATCTGCTGTCCCTATGAAAGGTTTATTGAAGTTATGTTACACCGACTCCGAATAGGGCGCAGGCATCTGACATTGCTTTTCACTTGCAAACGAGGAGCAACCAAGAAATGAAAAAATGTCAAGGACCTACAACAGTTATACACATCCTAGTCACGTGTCCTCATATCGCTACGCAGAGATGAAAAGGATACAGAAATTTGCCTAATTGATGAAGTCTAAAACTTTGTGGCGCACTCAACTAAACCGCTTAGAGATCTTCGTACCGTTGTTACACGGGCACTTTCGGTCGAGATCAGGCGCGGTCCGGATTTAACTCGACCCGGACCGGTAACTGCTACACGGTGTTAGCCGATCGTCTTGTCGACCGATCGCTTCTGGGCGACTAAAAACATCACGGAGTGGGCTTGGAAGGGAAGAACGACAGTGCAGCTGCAGTGTCGCCTCTTCGGCGCCGTGCAAATCTTCTCTGGCCTTATCCCGTGCCGGTGCTCACAACATTGTGTCAACGAGCCTCCCATTCTCCAAAAGGGGTCGTTGGAAGTGTCAGCTTTGAACCTCAAACTTCTTAAGTGCACGTGTGTGTGTGTGTGTGGTCGTCGTTATAACCCTGCCAGACATCCGGGATCGGTTAAATCCTTTCCAGTGCGTCGACAGAAGGGACAAGATGATGCACCATACCACGTTGTGTAGGGCCTTCGGAACGCCTGTTCACCGAGATCTGAGTTACGTAAATACTTTTGTATGAGGCATCTTCTTCTTTAACCTGTCCTGATGACTTGCTCGGGGCACGACACCAGCTCGCTTTCGCGCAGGCCTCGCAACCGGAGTTCCAGTGACGGTAACTTTTTAATCGCGACCATCGCAGGTTGGATTAAACAGAATCGCGACCTGGTTCCCGGATCACGATTAGGACGACGTCTTACTTCAAGCTCGATCCGTATTGAAAGGGCTAGAAGAAAACCACCCGTTTGTAGCACGAAGCGTTTCTTTCCCTTTCATGAACCTTCTGCCACCTTGCGGGTTTCCGCAGAACTCATTTGCAATCCCTATTACGTCGGTGTATGACGGTGCGCCACTGATCACTGAAGCCCCTGGGGGTCTAAATTTCCGGAGCGCTCCACTACGGCGTTTCTCATACTCATATCGTGATTCTGTCGAACACTTAATAATATTGTATTGTGTTGCCGAGTCCGGCTGATGGTGGCGGTGGCCGGCTGATACTTCCCCTTCTCGGAACGTTGGCTTAATCGGAATTCCTTGTTTCCGAATATATCTCTCACAGTGCTTGTGGTTCCCGCGTTTTCCCGTTAAAACACCGTGCGCCGCTACCACCGAACCGCCCCAACAAACGCTTCCTTTTAAAAATCGGCGTAGAGCCGCACCATCCATTTCGGCAGCCGCCTATACGCTTCCTGGACGGAAGCGGTGGTTTTATTTTTGAAGGGTGTTCCTACTCGAATGCATACGCAGCGGCGGCTATCTGGTAGCCGCGGCCGCACCCAGCGCGTGTTCTCTGCCCACAGTAGCGCGCAGAAGAAAGATAATCGCCTTTGGCGGCTTGAAGGCGCCGACACTACCCGAGTTGTTCGGCGAAGTGAAGCCGCGGGAAATAGTAAGGGGGAGGGGGGGGGGGGGAGCGCTGCTGCCGACGAGCCGATTTCCGCTTCTATCTGTGGGAAAAAGCAGGTGTCAGTGTCAATGCCAGCCTTCCTCCACTTTGAGCGCCACTTCTTTTGACGGTCGCGACCTTTCCGTGACCGGAAGAGGGTTCGGCGCGTCGACGGCACCCACGTGCATTTCGTTTCGTCTGCTCGAAACTGCGTGGAACGCGAAGCAGACGACAAATAATCAGAAACAGACGGAGCCGCGTTGTGTCGTCTGCTGTGTGCGTGCATATTTCTATGCGATACCGTGTACAGCGGTGGTGTTGCGAAAGTAAGTGCGCATGGAGAGAATGGGGAGGGCGAGGCTCTTTATTCAAAAGGGGCGCTAGTTCTGCACCCTACACGTGCTCAGTCAGACTTTGCACGTGCATTTTTTAATGCACAGGCAGATGTTGAGGCTACTGCAATAGAACCTTTACATGACACTCCAAGAACTTTAATTCTACGATGATGATAGTTATAGCGCGAGAACAGAACGACAACACAGAGACAAAGACACGAAAGACACTTCTTGTCTCTGTGTTATCGTTCTGTCCTCGCGCTATAACTATCGTCATGTCATACCAACTAGCCCAAGCTGCCACACTTCTGAGTTTAAGTCTACCCGTTGCCCCGTAAAACGGGAGGACTGTCGTAAGGGTTAAAGTTGTAACACAGAGAACGGCGCTTAACACTTTAATGCCGGTTCGTCAACCGGCTTGGCAGTTCGTCGATGCCAGCGACGTTCGTTCGAAAAACCAGACAGAACTCCGTTACAGGTGCGACCTTGCAAGTGCGCACGCAACGTGTTTCGCAGGCGCGCATTCCCGTTACGCGGAGGCGTTCACATCCGGGGACCACATACACCGTCAATCGAAAGAAAGAAAAAAGTAAACGCACAAAAAGCAAAACAAAAAGATTGCCTGAAAGGCGCTGACGGTCTAGGACTACGTTTCCGACGACGTTGGCGTCACGGTACGTGCGAAAAAACACACACTGTCCTGTACGAAATGAAAACGAAAATATATGAACGCAAAAACAAAAATATGGTGCATTGGGGCTCGGGAAAAGTGACAAGGCCTTATCGCACGCTGTGACGTCAGAAAAGAGGGAGAGAAGAGACGTAGTAGTGGCCATTGTCAAGGGCTCCAGAGCCACGCATGTGCTGTGCGCATTTGTTTTATTTGCGTAAGTGTTTTTGCTTTTGTTTTTCTGAAAAGCTTTTGTTTCCTGCCCCCTCCCCCCTTAACAATGTTACGCCACTGTTTTGTTCTCTTGTTTGATATATTTACAGACGTATATACGTTATATTTTTAGAGGAAAAGCTTTTATTTCTAGTATTTTTGTCTGTCCATTGATTGACATGCTCTTGTGAGGTAACAGCCAGGCAAAAAATAAAACAAATGCCTAGGAAGAACAAGCGTAATGTCAATTTCAACGGCATTTTGTCTTCATGTGCTTTACAGGAAAGCTGAACAGAGAGAGAATTTGAAGTTGACAATGTGTTAAAAGAACGAAGGACATTGGTTTGACAGGCGCGGAATGCGAGGAACCGCCTCATACCGCGTGGTACTGGAAAACAGTGGTGGCTGTAGCGGTTGCTTGGCCCCAAACGCATGCTGCGACGCCTCACAGTTCGCACGCAACTAAATTATACATCGAAAGGAATTTTTTTTAAGGTAATCACTTACAGTAACTACATCAAAATTTTTTGCTCTAATGAGAATAGTCATGGGTTACATTTGTGCTCTGGCAAATTCATATTGTCACAAATTACTCCAGGCGATTAAGTTCAAGGAAATGACATCATTGCATTAAGAGGCGTGGTGGTGACCCGAAGGGCGCGGGGTCGAATCCCAGTCGAAGCGGGCCACATTTTCCTTTATTCTTTGTTTTATTTTTAAACTAAATATCCAGCTTCGTTTAGTTCTTGGCCTAATATTCCTTTGTGAATGAGCGCCATCGTGCAGTTGGTCATCATCGTCGTCATCATCATCACGTGGGTTTGCCCGTGTTTCGTACACCGAGCTACAGCAACACACGAGGATGACGTCATAGGACAGCGTGGGCTCCCTATAGGTGCTCCGCAGATGGAAGTAAACTAAACCGCTGGAAACACCGGCGGACGCAAACTTGGAGGTGGTAGATATTCTATGCCCATGGCAGAACAGTTCCAGTGCATCGGACTGCTCAAAGGCGCTACTAACATTCTTACGGGCCACAGGCCCGAACGAAACGTTGTGAATAATACAGTGCATGTGAGTGACTATGTGTCATGTGTTTATCCATATATATCATTCATCACCCAGCACCTGCAGTAGCCTGTCAGGTGAAAAATCACGCAAACCTCTCCAGCTCTCCATTAAAATAATTCTCTCTCTCTCTCGGTGAAAAGCACTCCAACAGTGCGAGCGCACACGCTTCTTCCCGTAGATATGCATACAGATATATACATATATGCGTAGATATATTCATAGATATAGGCAGATATACATACAGATAGATATATGGATTGCTAGTTGCCGACGGCTTTGAGCTTCCACGCCGGATTGCAATGAAAAATGGCACTTAGCAGGTGGTCCTTTGCGTCTCCCTTTCCTGTGTAGTCCGGAACGTCCGTGTTCCGTGTTCATTTGTGCTCCCAACAAACACTAAACGAACCGGAAACGGGATGTAGGAAGTCAGAAAAGAAGAGGAAGATTAGCGCATGCTGCAAACGCGAGCTCAGTCTGCAGCAGACCAATTAGCGACGCTCGACGGCTAACGAAGTCTCGTCGATAAAACGAAGGACGGGGTTGGGCACTGAATCTCGTTTTTAGCACGAACGCGTAGCT